GGCAGTACATCGGCAGAATGAGACGTGACAAAACAAGGTCACAGGGTAGGAGCCCCCATATGGAACCTATCGGCCAAAGTCCGATCTTTCTCTGCCACCTCTAACCCCCGAAATTTCATAGCGAAAGCAGCGCTCATCTCCTGTCCTCTCCGAACCCGCCCACCCCATGGACGAGTGAACGCGAAGCCCTTCATGGCGAAGACGCAGAGTCGTTGCGGGACCTCATGCTTATAGCATTGCGGCTGGCGCTCTGACCGCGGAAGTCACTCGTCTATGGGGTGGGCGGGTTCGGAGAGGACAGGAGATGAGCGCTGCTTTCGCTTTGAGATTTCGGGGTTAGAAATGGCAGAGAAAGATCGGACTTTGGTCGATAGGTTCCATATGGGGGCTCCTACCCTGTGACCTTGTTTTGTCACGGGTCTCATTCTGCCGATGTACTGCCTTTAAAGGCAGTGTCCAGGCAAATCTGAGCGCGTGGGTTTTTCGCCTGGAAATTGATCAGGGTGTCCTAACTAAGGCATTGCCCACGGGCAGCGCAAATTGTGTATTCACGGCTGAAAAATCAGTCCCCGAAAACCCCCCGCCTGCGCCGTGACCGTAACCCAAAAACGACCTCGCTCACTTTAACGCTACGTTCGCGCTGGGACCCATCCTAAGTGTTACGATTACGGCGCAGACGCGGAGTGTATATGGATGAATTTCTCAGCCGTGAATGAATTATTTGCGCTGCGATTTGGGCAGTGCCTTAGTTAGAACCTCCTCAACAGTTTCCAGGCAAAAAACCCACATGCCCAGATTTGCCTGGACACTGCTTTTAAGGCCTGATTTGATCGGATTTGCTGGGCCGCAGAAATAAACCCTAAGACTTTACCAAAGTTTTAAGGTATGTGACTTTGCATACCATTATTTCGTGCGTCTTATTCAACAAGTTGTTACATCGTATTGCGCAATAGACTGTTCCAAGAGAAGAACCGATTATGTTTAGAGGATTCAGCGTTTAAGCTTCTCTGCGCAACCATCTTTATGACATAACTAGTTGACTTACCCGGCTCCGCCCGGCCCTGTCATTATTATATTCGTAATCAGCATGCTCGATTACCCCCCTGTGCCAACTCCCAGCCCCGTAGCTCAAATTTTGCAAAAAATCGATAAAATCGATATCGATCGATGACGAAAAGTAGCCTATGACACCCGCCGGGGCCCGAAGTGTATGTGTGCCAAGTTTGGTCCGGATCGGTTCAGAAATGGAATTTTCTATTCGGAACATACGTACAGACAGCCATACAGACAGACATACAAACAGACATTCAGCTTTATATATAAGATATTAGGTTGTCCGGAAGTTCGTGCAGTTTTTGAGCTATCTCAAATTTTTCAGAATACTGATAGGCAAACACTCTGGGCATTGTTCTATGCAAATTTCTTCTTCTTTCCAGCAGTGATGTTTTCGTTCGGTTCAATGCTCTTCCGAATGACCGCCACAACCTCCAACCCATGCATTTTACGTACAGTTTTACTAATTATTGAAATTTTCGTTCTGGACTTTTAACAGCTTTGATAACATTTGGAGTAAACAAAATGCTACAAAACTCAATTTCTTGCGTCGATAGCTGGCTATTCAGTACTTTTAAAAACAAGTTTTCTTAAAGTGTTCACACTTACGAAGTCATAAAATATACAAACGCTTCAAACACTATGAAATTCTCGCAAAATGGAACTTCCAAAAACCGATTACGGTCAAACAGTAGTTTTAACCAACAAACGTGTTTCTAGCGCCTCGAAATACTGATTTTTGAAATTTCGGGTGCATCCTGGAATGCATCAAAAACTAGAATGGCAACTATTTCCCCGAGGCCTTTACAAATCAAGAAGAAATAACATCTGCTAAAAAGAGGAGAAGAAGCTGCGTCGAATGACACCCTAGACTAAATGCTTACCGTCTGATGTTCTACGAGGTTTGGGATAAACAAATATCAAATTTGGTAGCATAAAAACGATATTTAAAAGTCTAAAAAACACCTACCGATGCTAAGAGATCTTATTACATGGCATTTTGTTTACTCTATCTATCTGTTGGCAAAGCATCCTCAAATGTCGAGAACGATATTTTGAACAAATAGCAAAATCAATTTGGGGACGTAAAATGCATTGTTGCGGCTCGGTGGGCTCTGCGCCCCTCACCTTGTGCTCGACTGCCATGCGCCCAGCTCCTGTCCCCAAAGGACTTCCGCCACTGCGGGTGTGCGCCAGCTCACAATGGCGCGTTACGCCTACACTATACACGAAACAATAAAAGAATACATAAATTAACTAAACAAATATACACAAAAATACACGATATAAACAAATATAAATATACTTACCACGGGGAGAGTTAAGCTCTACCCCGGGCTACCGATGGGGACTCTACCTTACTCACACTCACACACTAGCATACTCACACACTCTCCCGGAATCCAAGGGAGCTACCCACAGGCCGGCCGCGCGCCGCCAAGGCAGCAGCTACGGAACGGCAACACCGACCCCATGATGTTAACCAACAGCATCGAACAAAGCTCCCAACAAATCCTGCGCGACCAAGGCGCTTCGTGATGTTCATCATCCTGGAATTCTATCCTCGCGCGTACATCCAAACAATCCATCAACAGTCCATCCAATCGCGCGAGGCACGGGGACGTAGACACGACGGCGATATCGTGGAAACCCAACCAATCGATAATAAAGGCGGCACGACGATAATAGTAAGATGACAAGACAGGAGAGGCCGCACTGGCGCGCGTACGCGCTATTTATAGCGGTGGCTGGGGGCGTGCCTACATGGTGTGGTCTCGGAGCGAACAAGGTAGCCGCCGTAAAGCGCGGCGACCGTGCTCACGACCGAGACGCGCGGCAACACGGTGCTCCCGGCCACATGATGTGAGGAGCGGTCGATCGCGAGCCGCGACATGCATGGCTTGGAGGTTGTGGAGGTTCTTCGGAAGTATCGAAGGAATCCGAACAAAGCATCACTGCTGGAAAGAAGAAGATATTCTCCATACAACAATTCTTAGAATGTTTGCCTATCTTTATTCTGAATGATTTGAGGATAGTGTAAAAAGCATCACTAATTTTCGGACCCACCTAATATATTGCGGTGTACAGCAGCAAATTCCACGACGAAACGAATAGAGCTAGTTTGCCGAGAGAGGGCGAGACTTTGAGCCTACGATAAAAACATGAGCAAGCCCTATATTTAAATAAGCCGATTGCCTATAAAGTTCTTACAGGAATTACTCAGACAATGCTGTCAATGACGCGCGTGTTTTCACCTTGCGAGCAACCACGCCTCATGCCGCTCGTAAGATGAAGGTACGCGGCTGATTGTGAGTTAAAATCGCGTTAATATATCAAGTCGCTTTGAAAATTCTTTCCGTTTTTTTTGATCTATCATATAAACAGGCGGAACAAAGATAGACAAACGATTCAGACACCAAGCAGCTTTTCTTCCTCTTTCTGTCAATCATGTTTTTGCACTAGTTACTCATGTGGTCACTGAAATAATAGCGCCGAAGTTTTGAACTTATGCTTTTTAACATGTCCAAACTTGGTAACTTTTCAAAATCTTCTTTCTGAGATTTTGGAAAAGCTTTGATAGCAATCAGATAGCGTAAACAGAGTAGAATAAAGTGCGTTTCTTGACAACCGTAGCTAGCTTTTCAGAATTCATGGAATTATATTTCTGATGCCATCAACTTCCAATTTTGGTACTTAAACTCATAGAACAACAAACGGAGAACAACTAGGTATCATACGATGCAGCCTTCTCCCCTTTTTCTGAGAAACATTTTTTCTTCCCAACTCGTGCTGTCTTTGGCGACGAAATTATTATAATTTTTGATTTTGAAAGCGCTTCAGGCTGTACCCGTAAAGTGCCATGACATTTCGAAGCCCTAGGCTCAGTCGCTGTCGCAGTCTTTTTGTAAAACTAGCGTACAATCATAATCATTCTTTGAACCAATTGAATTCCGGAGAATTATTAGTGGTTGGAGCGTTTGTAAATTTTGCGAGTTTGCAAAAGTAAAAACTTTTGAAAAAAGCCACCATAAAAAATATTGTGAAGTCAATTGAAAATGTCGAAACATTGCATTGCACAGCACTTTGTTTACGCTATCTGACTGCTATCAAAGTTTCTCCAAAAGTTCAGAAGGAAGATTCTGGAAATTTGCCAGAGTGGGACGTGAGAACTCTGGATTCGATACTTCGGCGATTGAATGACCGCATGAATAAATCAGCACAGGAACATGTCATGCATGTTCATACGCTAATTTATTCATGCGGTCACTCAGTCGCCGAACGAGAAGCTTTTCTTCGTAAAGGAAGAAAAGCTGCTTCGGAAAGTGTATGAATCTGTATACATTTGTTCCACCTGTTTACATAATAGGTTGAGAAAACGGAAAGAGTTTCGGAACGATCTAATAAAATAAAAGATAAAATGGTTGATTATCGGATGTGGGGTGTAAAACGCGTAGCTTCTTTCTTCGTCGTCGAGGGATTTTTTTGCTCAGATATGGAAACGGGCTCTCATCTTGGCTTATTTTTTTATGTTGGAAAAAAGCCAAGCTTATCACAGAAAAAAATGTCCACATACGAAGAATGTGTGGTACTCCGAATTTTTCATCAATTAGATAAGAATTATTTGCATTGCCTGAGGAGCTACAAACAGCACGTAAAAGAAGTAGCTATTTATCAATAATATTGGAGTAACTCTGGTCAATGCTTGCTCTCAAATAGCACCAATAAGGTTATAATGAAAAAGATGCACGACTAGGTGATTTTCTAAATGCTTTATAATCCTCTTTGCAAGAACCCTACTTGTAGTCCAGATGCGACCCCACATTGTGGCCGTCTTGGCACGCTTGATTCAAGTGATCGCAAGTGTTATGAAAACCTTACCTGTTTCCACTGTTCGTACACGAGTATGGGCTGAATTTTTCATATAGCCGCAGAGTAATGCTTAATAATAGGTATGCAGCTGCTATGCAAAGCCATACGGGCCATTCCAAAACCTTTGAAAAAATTCTTTAGAAAGAAGGTTATCTAGCAAAACTCACCTGTATGAATCTGAAGGGCGAGTATTGCATAATTGGCTTCCTCATCAGAATTGCACCACCAACGGTCTTGTAGTAGGGTATTGTGAAGTCAACAGCGGTTTCACGTTCAGCTGTTACACTCAGAGATGTCAAGGCAATGTCGGCGGATCCCGATACTAAATGTAATAATTTTGAATGCGTGAATCGAGGACTCACTGGAATTTCCAACACCCTTTAGAACACATTTGGCGGCATAGAGTAGTAAGCACTTTATACACAGACACAGCTTTTTCTTTCCGAAACCACTCAAGTCATAAAGTCTTATAATGGATACTGACCCAAAGCGCCGATGAGACCGTTCCAGTTACCATCGTAATCGGGCACGCCAGGTAAGCCATCCTCCACCTCGTATATAGCATATGTAAAATTCAGCTACAAATGGTCAAGTCATTCATGAGCAAAAAATGTGTAAAATTAACAACCTCTTTGCTGATCATCTCCATGAGATCAATGCAAAAGCCTTCGTAAGGCTTTTTGGGATTGCGGGTCAATTGTACAAAAGGCGGAACCTAAAATTAAGGCCTGGAGTTTATTCATGTGCTAGTAAAAACCGTGAGTTTACTATAGGAGTTAGCTACGCTGTTTTGTTACCGACTTACAGCACACTCATAATTAGTGAGAAGCGAGGCGCAGGGCTCGGCACATGGCACCGGTTCAATCTCTATATCACTTTTGAGACAAAAGCAAAGAGGATATCTTTGTGGTCGAGACGACGTGACGGACGGCGACGATTTTAGTGGACGTTTCTTATTTGAGGATTTTTTTACAGTTGAGTTTAGGATCAAAGGGGACTTCGTACAAAATTTCCAAATAAACAGGGACTTCGTTTCGAAATTTTCCTGGTCCCAGCTTGTGCCGAGCCCCGGCTAACCTTGTAACTCAAACACTTCTCAATGATATACATGTATTTGTCACACATTTTGCACGAGCATGCGCTCATGAAAAGCGGTGAAAAAAGGATTTTTTAATGGTTGTTTTAAAGAGATTTGAAAAAAAAGGGAGGGATGGAGAAAGGATCGACAGCTTTTTTTTCAGAAGCAGGAACGACACTCCCGTCGGAAAGTTTAGAATGCTATTAGATAGTAATTTAGGATTTTGAAAAAAGCAATGCTGCGGACTCAAAAAATATTCTACGCGCTATTTCTTTTGATTGCTCTAGCTACGCCAAGATTGTTATCAGGTTGTCAATAAAACAATGACATTTTTTGGATTTTTTCGGGTAAAATTGATATAACTCGAGAACTAGAGCATATCCTAGGCCAAAATTTTATGGTTAAAGTTACGAAGCTTTGTAGTATACAAAGGCATATGTGGGAGGGGCCCAGTACTACTGGGGCGAAGTCTGCCATTTTCCATTTTTCAATTTTATCTTGGTTTCTAAGCATGGAAAAAATATAGCAACTGTACCTATAGATATATGCATGTGTCTTTTACATGCAGGAGCAAGTGAGAGGTTCGCAAGATTTTCTAAGGCGAAAATCCAATTTTTTGCATTACGAGTTGCTCATATGTTTTGGTTCTGAACTTTGAGTAAGTAACAAGTTCTGCTAATGTTTGGAAGTCATCTTGTAGAGCTTCCTTTGTTCTATCGAATGGTACCCCTCTCATATTTTTTTTATTTTTTCTTACAACCTAATATAATATTTTATTTGGCTAACGTTTCGGCTTGTTTGTCTTCGCTAGAGCCTGGAAGCAAGTAACATATCAGACCTTGTTTTTTTTTTCAAACGCTTCACAGCAGCTTTAATAGCGATGAGAGAAATTGTACAATTTATCAAAATGAAACAGCTCGCCTTCTTGAACGTTGAAAACATTCTGATGCTGAATTCATTCTTGGCGCTAATGGATGAGGAGTCCTGGGCTATGCGGCTATAGGTCAGAACCGACATAACTTCAGAGATGGCGTGAGTTCATACGTTATGGCTATACTTCTCTTTGTGTTCATCCTCAATTTTTTAGTTGAAAATCGGAACGCTTAAATTATCGCGCCGCCATTCAGCTATTCGTGATGAAATAGAGACATGTCGAAATCTGCATTCCAATGACGTTGCTTTCGGTGCGTGCCTCCGGCCTGTTCAATAGGCATTATGCAGCATGCTGCTGTATGCTCTGTTTCAGACTAGGGTTGCTCAAAATTTGAAGGGAGATTTCTATGGTTTTACAACGCGCGGCGAATCTTGTGAAACTGATCTTTCAGGCGAGCCCCAATCACTCTACTTAGCGCATCATTTTGCGTGAAGGGTAGGCAGAGTGGCACCTTGTCAAAGCATTTACTAAGAGAAGTAGCTTTACGGCTAGATTTTCACTTCGTGACATAAATTTGCTTACACTATACCAAGAACTTCTTTCAATGATGCGGATTTAAGAGCATCGGTACAAGAAGCTACTCTTGCTGTGTGCAACATGTTTTGGATTGCGCTACTTTGTCCGGAGATGGGATGAGCTGAAGATCAATGCCCAAGACTGTTCACAGTGCTAGGTTACCTGCGCTGTTCCTGCATTCTATCATGGTTGAGCGTAGCCGGACATTGAGGAATGGAAACCAAATCTTCCTTCAATGTTTCCCTAGCAAACTTGATGCCAGTTTGATTGTAGGTTTAGTAGGTCAAAGCAGAACTCTAGAGACGTGTTGGATCTCAATGAAATTTGAGGATATGCAGGAAGAAAGAAAAAATAGTCAAAAGAGATGGTTGCGCCATTTTTGGTGCTCTGACCTACATCCGCATAGCCCACTGCTCCCCATGCCATTTAGTACTCAGCAGTGGGTGGTAGTCTCTACTTGACGTTTGAAAAGATGAGCCGTTTTGTTTCGGCAAATTTTACAATTTGTCTTGCTGTTCGAAAAGCTTTGATATAGCATTTGGGAACCAAGCCTTATATGTTCTTCACTTCCAGGCCCTGATGAAAGCGAAATGTTAGCTAACTAACCATAACACTTTTGGTGTAACTAGAGCGAAAAGAAATATCTTGAAAACGCTAGGAAAAAACTTGCGATTCATGAGTCGACCATGGGATATCTTCTACAAGTTGATTCAATTTTTATGAAGCGCAGAATACAGGGTGTCCCAGAAAGAAATGTGCACCCTGCTTGATTGTTAATAACTCGCTCGCATCGATGTCTTTCGCCGGTCTTTAGGCTGGGTTCATACTAATTCCCATGTTCTGGAACTGTTCCGGAACTCTGCTGCATGCGCTGCAGCAGCCCCGTACGCGTTTTAAACGGCGGGAGTTGAAGAATGACAGTTTTCAACGGTTTTCCCATATTTTTCTCATTTTAGCCTTATTCCTCAACCTCGCTTACCTTTTAATCAGCAGAACTTCGAACTCAATCGGGCGTTGAAGAATGAGCGCATTTCTGCTCTGCATGTGCGACAAAAGTGTGTTCTTGTGCTCCTTCATTTCTTTTCGCTTTATTTTTACTCAGACCTATTCCATTTGTTCCAGGAAGCCGTTGCGTAATTTCCATAGACATCTGCCACAAATGAGGGAGTAGGAGCAATTCTGAAACTGCATGAAGTGGGACTTGTCTCTTGTTTCTGACGAGTTTCGTTTTCGGGCCTTTTCAGCCCTTTCCTTTTTTCATATCGTTGCTTCTCCGTTTCTTCTTCTACCCAGCTTCTCCGTGTGATGAGAAAGCTGTGAACTTGAAGCGAGGTTAAGGATTGAACGCTGCTTAGCTCCATGTATCCGGGAAGATGGGCCTTCGTGCGCTCGTCCATTCTCTCATCGCTATTTTCAGACTTACTTCATGTGTTCTATTAAGGCGGTGCGTAGTCCAGCATCTGTATTGAAACTGATATAGACAGGTCTCAAGAACACATGGAGTAGTCTGAACAAAAATGGCAGAGAAGATGGACGAGTGCACGAAGGTTCGTCTTCCCGAATACATGAAGCAGAACTGCATTCAATCCTCAACCGCACTTCTAGTTCGCAGCTTTCCTCATCACAAGGAGAAGCGGGGTAGAAGAAAGAACGGAGATGCAACGATATTAAAAAAGGAAAGGGGCTGAGAACGTCCGAAAACGAAAGAAACTCATCAAAAACAAGAGGCAAGCTCCAATTCATGCAATTTCAATTGCTTTTACTCCCTAGCTATGGAAACTACGCAGCGGCTTAAATGAAGTAATTCTGAGCAAAAATAGCGAAGAGAGAATGGACGAGCACAAGAACACACGTTTTGTAGCATACGCAGACAGAAAAGCGCTCACTCTTCAATTCCGCTTTTCGAGTTCGAAGTTCTGCTGGTTAAATGGGGAAGCAAGGTAGAGGAATAAGGCCAAAATGAGAGAATTCTGAAAGAAAAATCGTTTAAAACAGTGCGGGGCGGCTGCAGCGCACGCAGCAGAGTACCGGAACAGTTCCAGCACAGTGCGAGAAAGTGCGGGAACTGTGCGGGAACAGTTCCAGAACATGGGAATCAGTATGTATCCAGCCTTAGGTACCATTCTGCAGAGCTCGCTTCAGCTTAGGACTGCATGCATTAACATAACCGCCGAGGAGGCGATGCAGCTTGCAAAGGAAGCTTCATATCCTGAAGCTCCAGATATCTGGACTTCACGCTGTCTACCCATCCGTGAGCATTCCTTCACTATGAACATATCGAACAGGAGCGAGAAGCTGTACCAGCCGCATTTTCTATTTGTATGATCTCCTGATGATTATTGCGGTCGATCGTCTTTTCTTCAAAGTCATTTTTCTTTCTTCAAACTCAACTAAAAACTTCCACAATTGTACTGAACATCTAATATAGCAGTGCTAAACATGTTGCTGATAAGAACAGATGAGTTGAAAGATCGAATCTTATATATAAAGCTGAATGTCTGTTTGTCTGTGTGTCTGTGTGTGTGTCTGTACGTATGTTCCGAATAGAAAATTCCATTTCTGAACCGATCCGGACCAAAATTGGCACACATACACTTCGGGCCCCGGTGGGTGTCATAGGCTACTTTTCGTCGTCGATGGATATCGATTTTATCGATTTTTATCGATTTTTTTGCAGAGTTCACCTACGGGGCTGGGAGTTGGCACAGGGGGATAACCGAGCATGCTGATTACGAATACAATATTAGTTTTTAGAAACATCCATCACTTTTATCGATTTTATCGATTTTTTGCAAAGTTTGAGCTACGGGGCTGGGAGTTGGTTGGCATAGGGGGGTAATCGAGCATGCTGATTACGAATACAATATTAGTTTTTAAAAACATCCATCACTTTTATCGATTTTATCGATTTTTTGCAAAGTTTGAGCTACGGGACTGGGAGTTGGCACAGGGGGGTAATCGAGCATGCTGACTTCGAAAACAACACAGGGAACGGGAAATGAATTGTAGAAGTGGGCACAGGGAAAGGCTGTGCAGGGATAGGCATGGGACCTTTATTACAGTGTTTTGACAGGCCCGAGCGGACCCGGGTAAGCAAGCTAGTTTTTTATAAATCCCAACTTTCGACTTGTGGTTCATCGCAAATTTCATGACTCCAATATATCACTTGTTCTTA